GTAGCCCTTTTACAGTTATAACTAACCATTATATTTATATTATTACGGGTGACCCGTCCCATTTATGGCGAAAGTGTGTCAATCTAGTGCCTTTTGTTATACTGTATGTCAATATTTAGTAATGTTACTTCTTTGACAACTATAGCATTATATCAGTAGAAGGAAATTTTCGGCGCCATATTGAAACCCTAAAGCATGGTAGTCGTTACCTATAGCTTAATAAGAAAAAATTGAAAATCTGTAGAATGTTTACACGTTTTTTTGGCCCGGCATGGCCAGGTGATCGCGGGTTCGAATCCCCGTCACACCAAACATGCTCGCCCTTTCAGCCGTGGGGGCGTTATAATGTGGGTAAAGAAAAAGGCTCGGTTGTTAGGGCGTTGCACTCGCAATCTGAGGGTCGTGGGTTCGAATCCCTGTCCCACCAAACATGACTGCCCTTTCAGCCATGTGTGTTTGTGTGTGTATGTGGGGGGGGGTATTATGTGACGGTCGATCCCACTATTCGTTGGTAAAAGAGTAGCCCAAGAGTTGGCGGTGGGTGGTGATGACTAGCTGCCTTCCTTCTAGTCTTACACTGCTAAATTAGGGACGGCTAGCGCAGATAGCCCTCGTGTAGCTTTGCGCGAAATTCAAAAAAACAAACACGTTTTTTTTTTCCGCGACTAACTAAAAGAAAGTAGATTAAACACAGAGAAAAATGTAAAATCACCACAAACAAAGGAACCGTGAAGCGAGCTGTTTTTAGCGTGTCGGACTAAACATTTATTACTTGATATTATTCTTACAGTACAAGATATAAAACTACGTTAACTGCTCTTTATGTTAGTCCTAACTAATTGTTTTTAATTGCGTTTCCCATGTCATGAAACGCATCTGAATTCAGCAGGAAATTTGATTAACCTAAATATAATCCTAAAATATTCATATATAAATATGTATAAAAGTAGTGAACTGTACTGTTCTATGTCAAGATAACTGGCTACGGTTTTAGACACCTGGCATTTTATCAAAAAGATAATATTTTAAGATCAATTAACCAATACATATTTATTTAAAAGTAGCTGGAGTACCCGTCTTGTGGACGGAAGTTATGTAAATTCATGATTGATGAAAGGTTATCTTAGGATATAAAAAGTTGCTTCCCCTATATGTAATTGTAAAAGCCGCAAAACGCAGTACTGAAAATTTGTATGTACTCCCCGCAAGGACCCAATGAACCTCCATACCAATTTCAGTGAAGATCCATCAACAGCCCCGCGAGTGTAGTCCAATATTTTTCCTGCGTGCTAAACATTGCTGTTTGGTGCATGCATGTTTCCCAAATTAATTCAACTTTGCTGTCCGATTCTTGTCTTCCCTAAAAATAACTTCATGTTTGCTGTTTGACCCATATATCCTCCCCGAATGAGGTCAAATTTGCAATGACAGTTATGAAATTTTGTCATGATAGTGTCACTATATTTTGTTTTTTGGAGGTTGTATGTCGTTTCTTTGTTACTGTTTTAGTAGATTTGATGATGCATTGTTTAAGCCCCCCCCCCCTATTAGAATATTGCACTTTCACGGTGTATTTCTTACTTAACACCGACCAACAACGACAAATGTGTAAGTACAAGGTGTCATCGCTTAGCAGCAACCTTGACGAGATTGCAAAATGCGGGAGTCCCGTTATGGGCGTTTAGTCGGTTACTGTTTACAATACTTCGCGGTTCTTTTACTCGCGTTTCTCGGCCTAAAATCGACGCGTGTAAGGTTGACGCTAATATACGTCTGAGAAAACATCTTATAGACGTACATGACGGCGCAGAATAAACATTAATGGAATACGTATTTAGGAATTGGCATACAGTATAAACTTCATTTGAATGTTTCAGCTCTTTAATGGCCCGGCATGGCCAGGTGGTTAAGGCGCTCGACTCGAAATCTGAGGGTCGCTGCTTCGAATCTCCCGGGTATTATGTGACGGTCGATCCCACTATTCGTTGGTAAAAGAGTAGCCCAAGAGTTGGCGGTGGGTGGTGATGACTAGCTGCCTTTCCTCTCGTCTTACACTGCTAAATTAGGGACGGCTAGCGCAGATAACCCTCGCGCAGCTTTGCGCGAAATTCAAAACAAAGAAACAAACAGCTCATAAATTGTATTCAACAAAGGGTGTTGTTAAATGAGCAGTATTTTTCATCTAATGGAAATTATTAAACTTAAAACCTGTCTCGTAAGTAGAATCGGTTTATTTGTTAATTAATGTGAAACTCGTAAACGTTATTAAATAGATAAGGAAAATGGAAAAAATCTGTGCAATAACTATAAAATAAACCTGTTTCGCGTAGGTGCGTTTGAAAGACGGCTGTATAAGTACATTCCCCTTGTACGTTTCGAATTGAATCCTGTTCTACTGAATTAACATGCACGGGCACAACACGATGTCAGTGGCGATTGTGTTCGGGGTACAGTTATTGTGAAAGGTACAAGACATGTTCAGAACACGTGATCAGATACAGGTTGGCGAAAGCATAAAATATGAGTAAGGTCTGATTCGGTAAGATTTTTCTTAGAACTTTTGAATAAGCTCGAACTAGTTTACAGCTCTGGGATTATAGACAACAGAAAATTGAGGCAGTCAACAACATTCACCGCCAAATCTTGGGCTACTTTAAACGAATAGTGGTATTTGACTGTCACTCTTATGACGCACCCAAGGCCTCAAAAGTTCGAAGCGCTTTTTTTTTTTTTTTTTTTCGGCAACGGGTCACGCATCGTGGATCAGCGTACTCGCAGTTCGACACTAGATAGAACGGAGGAAAACAGGAAACAATATTAGTTCAGTAGTCAAAAAATGCTGTCATTTGTTCGATAAATTTTGAGATGCTCTAATGTACAGAAAACAGCTAAGATTCTTAGTGACAGGTATTCATTTTATTTGTCCTTTAACCCTTGAAATACTAAAAAAAAAATACTTGTTACTGTTATTGTTTGTTATTAATCACAAAGCTATCCGAGCTCTGCCCACCATAGGCATTGAAACACGAATTTTAACGTTGTAATTCTGCAGACATTCTGCTGTGCCACTGGAGGAGGGGCATACTTGTTGCACTATGTTTGTTTTTCCTCTCTCTTTCACAACAACCCCACCCACACACCCTAGTGGCACATTGGTAAGTTTGAATACTTCTATCGCTAACAAACGGCTTTAAGTACGGTTGATGAACCCTAAAATTCGGGTTTCAATACCCGTGGTGGATATTAATCAGATAGATCACTGTGTAGCATTATGCTAAGCAATAACAACAACGGAAATATTTCTTGTTTATAGTAGACAGATTTATAGTATAGATTTTTATAGTCTTACCGAAAAACTGCAGTAAAGAGACAAACAAAATCAACACTCTTGACTCTGAAAAGGCTTATGTCAGAGTTACATAGAAAAACTGGTCATTTAGAGCTCTGTGATAATTGTAAAAACTTGTTCTTCTGTGGGTGGGTGGTATGTGTGTGATTTCAGTGACTATTACTTTATCAACTACTCATACTTACAAGGGGACTGAGAAAGAAACAGTCATATACTCTATCATGTGAAATTAGGTCATTGTAATTCTTCACGTGAGTGTTATAATATGAAATTAGATCATTGTAATTCTTCACATGAGTGTTATAATATGAAATTAGATCATTGTAATTCTTCACATGAGTGTTATAATATTAAATTAGATCATTGTAATTCATCATTAAGTATTCTTAAGTGAAACTAGATCACTGTAGCTCTTCATTAAGTATTGTTAAGTGAAACTAGATAATTGTAGTTCTTCATTAAGTATTGTTAAGTGAAACTAGATCACTGTAATTCTTCATTGAGTATTGTTAAGTGAAACTAGACCACTGTAATTCATCATTAAGTATTGTTAAGTGAAACTAGATCACTGTAGCTCTTCATTAAGTATTGTTAAGTGAAACTAGATCACTGTAATTCTTCATTAACTATTGTTAAGTGAAACTAGATCACTGTAATTCTTCATTAAGTATTGTTAAGTGAAACTAGATCATTGTAGTTCTTCATTAAGTATTCTATTATTGTTTTTTATTCAGCTCAGCCACAAATAGACTCGATAGGAAGTAAAGCCCATGAGGATAAGTCAGCTCAACCACAAACAGACTTGGTAGGAAGTAAAGCCCACGAGGATAAGGGCACAAAGAGTGACGGCCCAAGTGAGGAGTCTAAGCTAAAACAAGCCCTTACAGATCGTCTTAAGAATGGAGGACTGCCAGAAAAAGATCCAGATCACGTGTTTACCTGTCCTTTGTGTGATTACACTAACGTCAGTGAGGTTCTCATTCACATGCATGTAGTAGCACAACATTCACAGAAACAAAACCTGCAGTGTCCACTGTGCCAAGAATGTCTTGACGAGTTGCCCAAATTGGAGAAGCACTTGATGGAATCTCATAAAGTCAGTCGTGAGGGTGTGGACAGATTGTTGATGATCGTGGATAAGACAAATTTAGAGAGTACTAACTCCAAACCTAAAGATCAACAGAAAGAGGAAGAGGTTGTGAATAATTCTAATACTAACGTCAAAAATGACAATGGGAACTGGGAAAACGCTAACAATGATGATGAGGCTGTAGACGATTTAGAATGTCCTGTTTGTTTAAAGCTGTTCAACAACATAGACGAGCTTTTTGTTCACCAGAATGAAAAGAGTCACATAGAAGTAAAGGAAACTCCATGTGGTCCGGGATATATATGCTGGAAGAAAGGATGTAACCAATTTTTTCGAGTATCCCAGGCTCTTCAAATGCATTTTAAGGAAGTACACGTAAAGAAACTTCAACTAGCTTTATCAGACCGCCATGTCTATAAGTTCAGGTGTAACCAGTGCAGCTTAGCATTTAAAACTCTGGAAAAACTGAAACTGCATTCACAATATCACTTAATTCGTGCAGCATCGCAGTGTGTCCTGTGTGGTAGGAGTTTTCGATCAGTGTCTGCACTCCAGAAACACGTGGAATCATCTCATACTAGCATGACTAAAGAAGAAATTCAACAGTATGAGGCCAGCTTGGTGAATAATCCTTTATTATCAAGTTCGGGACATCGTATTTTGAACCCTCACACTACAGAACTGTTGAAAAAAGAAAGCAACAGAGATAGTGCTGAAGAGGCTGAAGTGAAAACCACTTCTGACCCCCCAGAACAAACGAATCTAACTTCAGCAAGCTTTAAATCTAGCCCTGAGGAATCCAAAATGCAAAGTGGACATTTTGGTGACTGCAGTTCGAAAGAACAAGTGACTTTCGAGGATTATTTAAACAACCAGGTAATGGCAGAAAATAGTTATAATGACCCCAATAGAAAGTATAAGTGTCATAGATGTAAGGTTGCCTTTACAAAGCAAAGTTACCTTACCAACCATAACAAAACCCTGCTTCACAAAAAAGGCGAGAAGATGAGCTACCCTGTGGATAAATACCTGGACCCTAATAGACCATATAAGTGCGAAGTGTGTAAAGAATCTTTTACCCAGAAGAATATACTCTTTGTACATTTCAATTCTGTCTCCCATCTGCACAAATTGAAGCAAAGTATGAAAGATAGCAGCACTGTTTTCACCACGTTAACACCTCATAACTTAACCAAGCCTGTGACATCTAATACAAACAGTAGTAGATGCCAGAGTCCCGTCACCGCTAGCAGCGAATCTGAAAAAAAGCTCTATAAGTGTAACATATGTAAGGTTTCTTATAATCAGAGCTCAACCCTTGACATACACATACGATCTGTTTTACATCAAACCAAAGCATCAAAACTGCACGAGTTAGCTATGACAGGAGAAGTCGATTTAAACCTTCCTTTAATTGAAAAACCAGAGCTAAGTCAGTCCCAAGAGGACCAAAAGAAAGCTGAACCTGGAACTTCTCGAGCCACTAAGATAAGTGCAGATGTAACAACGTCCTTAGCCCAACCTCCGCTTTCTATTGACTTCGATCCTTTTCCTCAAACCTCTGTGCCATCTACTGGCACACCTTTAAGTCCTAATGTTTCACCGAGGTTTCCTTTTCATGTTTCTCATGCTCATCCTACAGTGACACAGGCTCTTGGTTGGACCTCTGATTTTGCAGAAACTTCAGGTCTTGTTCATCCCCAGATGTCATCACAGACGCATTATCCCTGTCCACGTTGTAGTGTATCATTACCCACGCATGATGCATTACTTCAACATCAGAAGATTTGCGGTTTTCTACATCAGCCTGCATCTTCTTTGTTTAGCTGTAACAACGTTCCAATAACAACTAGCCAAAATTCCCTTGAAATTTCTGGTCTGACTCAGACATCATCCGTTTCCTCATTGGTCCAACCCAAAGATATGGTCTCAGATGCTCCGTTAAAAGAAACTATCACTAAGTCAGAAAAGCTAAGTTCTCAAAACGTTTGTAACCAAGAACGATATGACACTACTCTTGAGTTATCAAAATCTAAGGAGCAAGTAACATCTCAAATGCTCATGGCAAAATGCCCGTATCCTCGGTCAAAATCACTGATGTATAAACACTTGCTAGAAAGCTGTGGCTTTGAAATCGTCATGCAGTTCAATGAGTTCAACCAACGTAAAACTAGAACTGATACTGACGGAGAAAACATAACCAGTAAAGATACTGCAAAAACAAAATCTGGTACGACACCTGACGAAGAAATTCAAAGCTGTTATGAAAAGCCAAAAAACAAGTACTTGCCTGAAATTAACAAGTCGGTATGTAACATTTGTTCCAAAGAGTTTTCCAGTATCTGGGTTTTGAAAGCACATAGAGAAGAATACCACAAAGAAGTCGTACCATTTAGTCTACTGGAGCATGTTTCTCAAGAATTCAGAATATACTATGATAAAAAAAATCATGCATTAAACCTACCCCAACAAGATGACCTGACAAGCAATTCGGACACAGCTCCAACACCTATTTCAACTCCTGACTATAGCATATACAACCCAAATATTACGAATGGGACAGCACATCCTGGTATAAGTTTTCCACCAGTATCTCCCATTATACCTCATTCAAGTCAGCAAGGAGGAGATCCTGTCAACTTTGCTGCAAATCAAATGGCTGCCCAGTTACAGTTTCAACACCTACTTATGAGCATGGGTTTAGGAATGAACGTACCAATGGGTTTAGGAATGCCATTTGCAAATAACATCCATCCATCACTAGTTCCTATGATGTTTCCTCCTCCTGTTGAATCGCTGATGGCGTCATCATTCAATCATCCATTAATGGGGAGTGGATTCGATTCGACTGCTTTTAATGCTCAGCAAAAAGTTCTTCAAGAACAACAACAGCAGCAGTTACAAGCACAACAACAAAAACGTGCAAGGACACGAATAAATGACGACCAACTCAGGATCTTGAAAACATACTTCAATATAAATAATTCCCCATCGGAAGAACAGTTGAAAGAAATGTCTTTAAAATCTGGACTTCCTTTGAAAGTAATCAAACACTGGTTTCGAAATACTTTATTTAAAGAACGCCAACGGAACAAGGATTCTCCTTACAATTTTAGTAATCCACCATCTACATTTCTTAATCTTGAGGAATATGAAAAAACTGGAGAGGCTAAATCAATAATAGCTCAAGAAAACAATCAAGAATATAATAAAGATAATGAGACTAAAGAAAGCGTTGCTAAAGAAAAAGCAAAACATAAAGTAAGAGAACGAGAACTAGAGAATGGGATGAACGAACCGAAACAATCGAGTGATATGAAACCATATTCTGTAGATTCTTTGCCAGCAACTCCAGTGTCTTCAGAATCGAATGATAAGACATTCGACGCAACGGGGTCAGTGTGTGATGCGATTTTACAAAGCACTCCCATAAAGATAACAGAGTCAAGCACAGAAGCCAGCAATTCATCTGAGCGATGTGACTTTCAACCGGAAAATACTAATTTTAAAGATTTACTTCTTTGTTCTGCAGACAAGACAGCCTCGTCAAGTTTAATTGCAACTTCTCCTGGAGTTATTACTGCAGCCACATTAGATAATCAGAAACAAAACTCTCAAGCTCCTTCCTCCAGTCGATGTTCAGGGTCAGGTAAACGTGCAAACAGAACTCGATTTACTGATTACCAAATTAAGGTACTTCAGGAATTTTTTGAGACCAACCCTTATCCAAAAGATGACAGTCTGGAATATCTCTCCAAATTATTAAACTTAAGTCCAAGAGTCGTAGTAGTATGGTTTCAAAATGCCAGACAAAAAGCTAGAAAAGTTTACGAAAATCAGGCCCCTGTTCCATCAGACGAAGACACAAATGGACGTTTCCAACGGACACCAGGTTTAAATTATCAATGTAAGAAGTGTTTACAAGTTTTTCAGCGTTATTATGAACTTATTAAACATCAAAAAGGGTCATGTTTTAAAGATGAAAACCCATTAGTATCTCAAAATAATAAAACCAGTACGTCTTTGTATGAAAGTCCTGTTAATCGTTCAGTTTCTGGGTCAGTTCAAAGTGTTCCTGTAGCACAAGATACCAGAAAGATGAACCAGAACAGTACTTATCAATGCGACAAGTGCGGTCTTAAATTTTCCAGATTTGATCTGTGGAGAGAGCATCAGATAGTTCATATCATGAATCCAACCCTTTTTCCAAATTATCCAAATAAATCTGAAATACTTCACCTAGACAAACAACACACTCTGATGAAGAGGAAGTTTCCTGACAATAACGACTCCAAAGAAGAACCCAAAGACAAGAGACTGAGAACCACCATTCTACCTGAACAACTAGATTATTTGTACCAGAAATACCAAATAGAGAGTAATCCTAGCCGGAAGATGCTAGAAAACATAGCTCGCGAGGTCTGTCTGCGGAAGAGAGTTGTTCAAGTTTGGTTTCAGAACACTCGTGCAAGGGAAAGAAAAGGTCATTTTCGAGCCCATCAACAGGTCATTCATAAGAGGTGTCCATTCTGTAGAGCCTTGTTTAAAGCAAGGTCAGCTCTTGAATCGCATTTGGCTACAAAACACGCTGACCAGTACACAAAAGGCGACATACAAATAGATACTTTACCAGATGGTGAAACTGATACAGATGGTGCAAACAGTGCTGGAGAAGAATCAAAAGAAAGCGTAACAGGTTTTCAAGAAATATCCTTTTCAAACCCATCCATGATGTCCTCTGGTCTATCTTGTTTATCTATGGATATCATGCAAAATATGACCAATAAGAAGCATGGAGATTCTTTATTAAATTATTTGGATGAATTCAGAACTTCGTCTAACTATAAAACAGAGTTATTTGGAGTTAATTCAAAGGAGAAAGAACAGCAAAAAATAAATATACCAGAAGCAGGAGAGTGTCCTTTAGATTTAAGTATACCTCCCAAGTTAAGCATGAAATCGCAGAAGTTAATTGATAGTATACAAACAAACCTCAATGATAAGAGTGGCGACGACTCTTCGTCTAAATTAATAATTTCAGAGGATGCAGTGTCGGAAACTCTCTCTGAATCTACTGATAGAGAAGAAGATATCTCGCACAGTGGAAGTCAGAACTCTTCCATTACTCAGAACCAAGTAACCCCTCCAAGCATTACGAGAAAAAGGGTTAGAACCCAACTAACTGCTGTACAAGTTAAAATAATGAAATCAATTTTTGCCGATTATAAAACTCCTTCGATCACAGAGTGTGAATTTCTAGGTCATGAGATTGGTCTACCAAAACGGGTTATACAAGTGTGGTTCCAAAATGCACGTGCTAAAGAGAAGAAATCGAGTGTTGCTTATGCAAATGCACGTGAGTTGGATGTGTGTCAACCATCAAAGGAGTGTAAGATCTGTAAGACTACGTACAACATCAATTACTCAAATACAACCACTCAGGATCACCTTTTCTCAAAAAACCACATTGAGAAATTGAAACTCCAGATAGAAAATAACAAAAAACACAAAGAACTGTTGCAAAGCTCTAACTTACCGCGTGATCTTCCAGTACTGGGAAATGGAACTTCTCAAAGAAACCCAATAGAAGCAAAACAGCCACAACGAGACTTAGTAACATCGGGTAAGGTGAAATCAATCCAATCAAGTTTCATGCAGCAGCTTCAAACGACGGGACAGCAACAGATGGCGACACTTGGGACGTCTAGTCTGGATCAAACGACGGGACTGCAACAGATAGCGGCACTTGGGACGTCTAGTCTGGGTCAAACAACGGGACTGCAACAGATAGCGGCACTTGGGACGTCTAGTCTGGAGAAGTCACTTTTACCTGGAGAACGGCTTCAGTCTTCTGAAGAAATTGAAGCGGTCACTTCAAAACCGGAAGGGTCAAGCAGCTCACCATCAGCCAATACTTCAAGGACTTTAGACTTTCCCTCAGTTACACCTGTTGCTTCCATGCCATCAACACCAAATACAGCCGCTACAAGCCAGTCAACATCTTTTTCTACGGAAGGAACTGCGGGTTTTTTTCCATATATGTTCAGCAGCGTTCCCGCCAGCTACTACTCTGGAACGACTGTTTCACCGAACATGTACAATACAGGTAGGAAAACACGTGAGAATGACTGCTTCTAGAGGATTTTAGTTTCTTGGTCATTAAATGTGTGCCTTGTTTTTTAAGAGCATCATTCAGTTGCTTCTGCCATAATGTCATTGATGAACATAATACATAAAATCTTCCCACGACCGACCAGGTAAATAAGTTCCTGTGTATGTTTAGTGAATGTAGAAATGACCAATAGTCTGACCAAGTCGATTTTAAGCAGTTCCTAACGTTTTAATTGTCATAATATTTACCATTACTTTTTTTGCCAAGTACATAAGAACCTGTTTTTCAAATAAGTTATCGTGTTGTAAAATATGTTACTAGGCTGGTGATGCTAACGCGAAAATATTACATGTAAATATATATATATACATACATACCCCAATTTATAGTATATATAGATATATATATATGTAGCTAGAAAAAGAGAAGAAAATATCAATGAAAAATAGAGGTCGCTGTATTTGCATACCTTTTTACGAGATCATTTTACAATATAATGATTCACTTTATTTGTAATAGACACAGTGTGGTAAACTTACAATATTTTACAACAAATTTTTATTTTCTTTAAATAAAAATACTTTCTTTTAATTTTAAGTGTTGTTGATATTAAAGCAGCCATTTTTAATATTTATTATTAACTTTTAATTCGGACTTTTTGTCATCATAAAAATTTCTCTTATCTTGTTGAACAGTCACTTTTGATTGGTGTAGAACAACGGATGAAATGTTGTTACTTGTTTACATCTTAAGAATTCCATGTATCGCCCTTGATTAACCTGTAATATTTACAAACGCAGAGAGTCGAATTTATTATGTATGAGTATTTAATACACTAATTTTTAAAATATGCGTTAATGTCGAAATGCAGAAGATTTTACGTTGAACGGTAATATAATGATTTCCAACAGAATGATCGTAACGTATACTGTTTACTGATATTGAAAAGTCAGGAAATATAAAACCCTAAATGAGAAGTGAAATCGTAATGCAACACAAAAAGCTTGTATTCACTAGGTTTCTTCTTGGGCACAATAATGGTCACTCTGATCACCACAGTTTCATAAGTATCTTTAGATTCTCACCACAGAAAATCCTTTTTAACTTGCATCAATGTACTTGTAGGTAATTTGAAAGAATGGCTAGCTAGTGCTATGTTTTGTGTAAAGTTGTGTTTTCAAGAATTCTGGCACGATCAACTTTTTTTTTTCTGTCACAGAATATTTTGTAACCTGAGTGGACCCAGATTATATTATGAAGTATCACAATATTGTATTATATTTCACTGCACGGTTTCATTTTGTTTTTTACTGATTTGCTTGTTAGTCATGGCATGTTAATCACAAATATTCGAGTTGAATTTTATTTTTAAATGTCTCTTTTTTTTTTCTTTCCTGTTATGCTACTAAAATTATAATTTACTTTGTAATTCTAGAATGTTCTCTTGTTTCTTGTTCGGTTGATGGTATTTGTATGTAACTAAAGTAACATACACACCTGTACATACCCAGATTTGTCGGCTGAATATAAAATAAATGTTGTTGTTTTTTTTTACAGAAGTTTTTGTTTCTGTTCTGCTTTGTTTCGTTTCGTTTGTAATTTATTATAAAATAATTCGTTTTGGAATGACACATTTATGTTGCATATCTTGTAAGTTATTCAACCTTATGCCACATATTATGTTGCATAGCTTGTATGCCATTCAACCTTATGCCACATTATATGTTGCATATCTTGTGTGCCATTCAACCTTGTGCCACATTTATGTTGCATATCTTGTGTGCCATTCAAACCTTATGCCACATATTATGGTGCATATCTCGTATGGCATTCAACCTTATGCCACATTTATGTTGCATATCTTGTATGCCATTCAACCTTATGCCACATTTATGTTACATATCTTGTATGCCATTCAACCTTATGCCACATTTATGTTGCATATCTTGTATGCCATTCAACCTTATACCACATTTATGTTGCATATCTTGTATGCCACTCAACCATATGACACCAAATAATCGTAGAAGTCATGACGATCTTGTATTCAGATTATTTTTTTTCAAAATTCTCTGCAATAAAAACAAAGAAAATCGACAATTCAAATAAAACCTATTTATTTCCAAACCAGATTTTTGAATTTATTTCACATAACTTTTTTTTAATATAAATTCATTTTACCAAATGTTTTAATCCTCCACAATCCATCCAGCTATTTTTGATTCGAAAATTCCAAGTGACAACAACATCAAACCGACATAAGTACTATTAATGTAAAATAATTGCTTGCCATATGTAGCACAATTGGATACGTTTATATACACACATTTCACAATTTTTTCCACCTATGCACTGCATTAAAACGTTATTATGGCCTGTGTTTATTTTTATTTGTTTTTTTGAAACGCCATTTCTCGAAATTGTTATAAAACTGAATGTTTTTTTTTGGTTTAAGACCTTGAAAATTATCTAAATACGTGCACATTATATTAATGTTAAGATAAAACTAGCGTTTCGTTCACAAATTTATTTTGGAATATCGTCAGAATTATCGTGGGTAACGTTTCGGTTTTCATTCTGCTGTAACTTTTGTCAGTGGATCGCTGAAATCCATTATTTCGTATTAATATTCTTACTTTCTTAAGTATCTACTCTATAGGTCGGATTAATTATGACAGAGAAAATAACTTTACGTTTTATGCGTCTAGGTCGGATTAATTATGACAGAGAAAATAACTTTACGTTTTATGCGTCTAGGTCGGATTAATTATGACAGAGAAAATAACTTTACGTTTTATGCGTCTAGGTCGGATTAATTATGACAGAGAAAATAACTTTACGTTTTATGCGTCTAGGTCGGATTAATTATGACAGAGAAAATAATTTTATGTTTTATGCGTCTGGAAAATCGAGTTTCTTTTCGAAAGTCAAATACAATTAATTACATCACGCGAAGAAAACCATTTTCAAATAATTTATAATGCGCGCTAAAAAAAAACACTATTGAAATGACATATAAAATATATTAGTTAATACGTGATTTCACTTATATATTTTTTATATTATATTTTCGATGTTCGGCTGATCTATGGAAATTATTTCTTGCTTATCAGATTTTATTCCCTTTCTGAGAAACAAGTCCGAAATCTACTAGCTAACATATTTACTGCTAGAGTGTTCAAATTTCCAGTTGCTAATCGCCAAAAAAAGTTTCAGTTTTCTATAAATTAACTTCTAGTAGTAAAGACATTAAAAGTGTAATTTGGTATTAGATGAAATCTATTAAAAATAATGCTTATTTAACCTAAGAATAATTACGTGGCAAAGTCATTATTTTGAACCACGACCCCCTCTCCCCCCTAAATGACAAGTAATTAACTAAATGACGAACATTTTTCTAAATATGCGCGGTCAAGTCTTTTACGTTAAACAAGGATTCAAAGAGGCCAAAAAAGGCATTCTGGATGTTTTTCATTTAACTAGATAACTTCCATATAAATTGTATATTTTAAGAACGATGTTCCAGATACTGTGGTACCTTGAAAATACGTCATTTATCATTGATCGTACTTCATCTGATGGACATTAATACTTACAGACCACATACCTTGCCAGGGAGGGGCATAGTTTACCGGGAGGGGGAAATGTAGTGTGAAATTGTGAAATGCGGACTCCCATGTTTGCCAGAGACTTTCCTATGCGTGGATGTTGTCAGTTTCCAAGACCATAATTTAACCAGAAGAAAGGCACGAAAGTCTGTCTATTTTAGAAGACTCGTGGAACTTAACACAAATGCTATAAAATTGGATAGTTATGCTTCTAGTTTATTAGGTTGTCTTTGTCACAAAAACAACTGTTCATTTCAAGTGTAAGTATTCATCAGTTTCTAATCCTTCTTTATTTTGTTGTTAACGATAACAGAAGACACGCGGCTTCGTCGCTATGTTTTTTTTCGGAGGGGTTAGAAGATTCTCTTTCGATGCTCATCACTCTCTGGATTGGCTTGTAATGTGGTTTTGGAAATTGTTGCCCGCCTAAACGCTCTACTATGTGAGTTTTCCCGCTTACAAGTTCGATATGTTGTGTCCTCCTATCATTTAACAACCTTGCTGTATGAATATTCCTTTATGAAAAGAGTATTCCACATAAGCCACACCTTAAGTTTTGAATTATATATTTTCTCACTAAATATTCTCAGGCTCTCGTCGTTTACGTCGGTAAATTTTTCTACATCTTTGTTGATATTTTTGTAAATTAATTGCCTGAACTCGCAAAACTTTCGCCGATCTTGATTTAAACATCATATTTAAGTTTCTTATATTGTACCTCATATTTATTTAATAAGATTATAAGTTGTAATTTAATACACTGTGTATAATATTGACAAAACGACATAACAGAAAATTCTATTAGGTGAACTTTAGACTTCATTTTTATTGACGTTAGCAGGATGTGGCCTCCTTGTTCGCGTACCGCAATATAGAATTATAAGTTCACGGCTCGAGCCACGTTTGGGTGTTGTAACTGACTGTCAGTCCTGCTACTCAGCTAAGAGTACCGTGTATGTGAAAGATGCCGCTGCTGGACTGGTCAATCTTTCTGTGGCCAACAGTTCAAAATTAAGGATCGCTACTATGCCTGACCTTTCCGCTTAGTCCACGTGTAGCATGAGGCACCATTCACGTTTCCATGACGTAACGAGGAGACAGTTTTCCCTATAAGCACGTCTTCAATAATTTAGAACATAAAAAGACCCTTGTATAAAAGACTATCCCCATAATCTTGTACGTCAAAAATGAAGTACATCTTATTAGGCTTATGTGAATGTTTGTTTGTTATGGATTTCGCGAAAAGCTACACGATGGCTATCTCTGCTAGCCATCCCTAATTTAGCAGTGTAAGACCAGAGGGAAGGCAGCTAGTCATTACCACTCACCGCCAACTCTTGGGCTACTCTTTTAGCAACGAATAGTGGGGTTGACCGTCACGTTATAACGCCCCCACGGCTGAAAGGGCGAGCAGATTGCGAGTCGAGCTCCCTAACCACCTGGCCATGGTGGGGCTTTATATGAATGAAGGATATTACACAGAAATTTTTGTTGTCTTTTTCATACAATGTCAAAGTCTATAAAATACGTTTTAATACTAGTAATACACGACATTATCACACCGAATTTGTTTGTTGTTTTTAATTGGCGGGTTCGATTCCCCTCAGTGGATGCAGCGGATAGCCCAATGTGGCATTCCTCTAAAACAAAGAAAGAAAACTTGTGTCCGGTTCGATCCATACAGCGGGCTGAGCTTAGATAGTCTATTGTGCAGCTGTGTGGTTAACTATCTAAAACCCAAAAATTATCTGACTTACCACGAAGCATTGATAATAGGTTTATGAATAAAATGTCCTTATTTGTCTGTATATAACTTTCTTTGTTTGTAGATCAAGTTCTCTCAAAGTGTTTCATTTGTTTGTTTTATTGTTCTGCTAATAAGTTCGCTTCGTTTGTCAGTAAGTACTGTCTTCATTTTTCTGGGATCATGTTTTACTCAATTTTCTCTACATAATATTGTTTTACCTTTCGGCGTATGAGGCTGTGTCTGTCCGTGAACAAGGTTATCCTATTTGTTCCTGAATAAATTTATTCAAAGTGCAGTTTCGTATGTTTTAATGATACTGTTTATTTCTCCGTGAACGTTGTTTATTTATAGCTAAACAAGGTTCTCCAAATTGTTTCTGAATAAATTAGTTTCACTTGAGTGTTTTTTTTTGTTTTGTTAATAAGATTACTTTAGTTGTCTGTAAGTGGGATTATCTGTTTTTTATTAGGTTAATCTAATTTATTCACGAATACGTTACTTTGTCTGATTTTGTTTGATTTGTCTGAGTATGAATCTGTTAATTTTACCTGTCACCCGATGGGGTTCCACTCGATGGACTTAGAGCAGATAGCACATTGTTTAGATTTGTATTTAACAATAAACATGCAGCTTTAACACATTGTTTAGATTTGTATTTAACAATAAACATGCAGCTTTAACACATTGTTTAGATTTGTATTTAACAATAAACATGCAGCTTTAACACATTGTTTAGATTTGTATTTAACAATAAACATGCAGCTTTAACAAGTGTATGATATTGTTTGGTTTATACGTGAATATAACTTTGTTTCATTGATCAAATTTTTCTCTGAATAAGTTTTTTTTTATCTCTGATGGGTAGTTTTGGATTTTCTCGTAAAAGAGTTTGTTTCATTGATCAAATTTTTCTCTGAATAAGTTTTTTTTTTTATCTCTGATGGGTAGTTTTGGATTTTCTCGTAAAAGAGTTTGTTTCGTTGATCAAATTTTTCTCTGAATAAGTTTTTTTTATCTCTGATGGGTAGTTTTGGATTTTCTCGTAAAAGAGTTTGTTTCGTTGATCTCTGAGTATTATTTATTTTATTAATACGTTTATTTTACTATGAGTAATGTTTTCTTTAGTTGACTATCATTTGTGTGAATAAAGTTGTTGACTTTCATTATGTGCGTAAAACTGTTTTTTTTTGTTGTTGTTTATAGT